TGGTTGTGGTGGAGGTTTTGGAGGTCGAGGTGGTGGTGGTGGTGGTGGTGGAGGGCATTCAGGCAGGGGAGAGGGAGGTATAGTTTCAGGGGGTGATTCGGGAGGATCATGCACAGGAGGGGGAGAAAAAAAAATGTATTTTGGAAAAAAAAGGGGGATTAAACAAGGGCTTATTTCTGAAGTCAAAAATAAGGAAAATGGAAAAGCTGTTTTCGAGCGTTTTTCACACACAAATTACATAAAGAAATAGTACCAAAGTTTTATTCCCTTTACATTTAGACAAGGCACTGGCAAAGGTATAAATGCTTTCTTCTTTAACATTGAGAATTATCATGTCTATTGTGTGCCAATTTATGTGGGAAAAGGTCTGCCTATTCCTTGCTTATGATTTGTCAAGGATGTCTCATCTGCTGAGATGCAATGTGGTGCAATGCTTTTGTTCTTTTTATGGGTTTGTGGGGGCTAGGATGGTGGATCGATTTATCATGTTAATATGACACATTTATAATGTATGTTAAAACAAATTCATCCATTCATATCTTCAGTGCCTTCTTTATGCTGAGCCATCATAAAAATCAATATTGCTTTTGTGCTTAGATGATCTTCCCCACCTTCTTCTTACCCTTGATATTTCAAGTGCTAAAGTGAGAATGTTCTCTGTAGGATCTGCAGGAGGCTCTGAATCAATTGGAAGAAGGACTGAAAGATAACATTAAGAGGCTAAAATCTTTCGACAAGTACAAGCAGGAAGTCCTCCTTGGACATCTTGATTGGTCCCCTATGCACAAAGATCCTATTTTTTGGCGGGAAAATATTATTAACTTTGAAGAAAATGATCCTCCTTGGACATCTTGAGACATGTTACTCTTCGTTCTACTATTTGTTGGTTCTTCAAAAGACAAAATATCCCTAAAATATTTAGTCGTGGAAATGAGGTTACTAGGGCAGATAAGATATGATATGAAAATGTATGATGGAGGCTAAATTAAGGGAATGATGATTTGGGTGGTTGGGACATGTTGTGCATAAAATTGAAAAAGCCCATATTTATGTAATCGACCTCAAATTTATTAAGAACAATGGTTATCATTTTTGATAATTGCAAGAGTTCTTATGATTTTGTTGCATTTATCCTCCACCTTTGGATAATCACAATTCTCATGGATTGATGAATTGTTTCGTTTTTATCCCTTTTGTGCAAAACTAATACTTGCTATCTTGGTACAGATTTTACGGGTCCTGATCACAATCTTGGATACATCCAGTGATCCTCGAACACAAGCTGTTGCTTGCTTTGATCTCTCGCAGTTCATTCAGTACTATCTTGCTGGGCGTATCATAGTTATTGACCTCAAAGCAAAGGGGTGGGTGATGAAATTGATGAACCATGAAAACGCAGGGTAGTATTTTCATATCTGCTTTTGTTTGTCGCAAAATTTTATTTCATTTTGAAATTCCTTTTTATTTAGGTGGCGATGTATTACATAATTTACATTTTA